ACATACTTTGGACATGTTGTGAGGAGAGACTGGTCCTTAGAGAGGGACATCATGCTTGGGAGGGTGGAGGAACAGCGCAGGAGAAGAAGGCCCTCTATGAGGTGGATTGATTCAGTGACTGGGATAATTGGGATGGGAGTGTCAGAGACAGTGCGACTGGCACAGGACAAAGCGGAGTTTAGGGCTGTTGTACATAGGTTCACTATGAGTCGCAGGCGACTCGACGGCACATAACAACAACAACAAACAACAGGTTTCCTATGCTTAACTAAATCTTCGATCATTTAGTCAAAAACACTGCAATGCTTGATCTTAAGGTAAAAAAAGCAAAATCATACTCTTTCTCATTATAATCTCTCCCAAGATATTTATTAAGCGGCACTTTTGCAATTGCCCGTTTAAATATTATTAGCCAAGTGGCCAAAATTGGGAGCCACATCTTTGAGAACTGGTCATTTCGTGAGGCTCTGTATGCTCAGGTGTGAATTAGTTCCCTGTTCCACCAGCCCCAGAGAGGGAGTACCAATAACAGCACCAGACATCAGCAAGTAACTAGAACTGTGAGCTGCACTGTTGAGAGGTTATTGGTTCCCTAAGACTTTATCTGCTGAAGGAAAAGGGGACACACAACTCCGAACATTAGCAAGTAGCTAGAACAGGGAGCTGCCTTGCTGAGAAGTTGGCAGTTCCCTGAGCCTTTGCTCTCTATGATGAAGTGACACAGTGACTGTAACAACAGGCTCAAGCATATCAGGTTATCAGAATGGCACAAGGCAGGGCAAGGCTCAGAAACAGGGTCTCTAGCAGTCATATGGCTCCTAAAAACAACAAGTTCTTAATTGTTGACTCTATGGCTCCTAAAAACAACAAGAACAAGCAACAGTGGCAGGATACGAGGGATTGCCATAGCTGGGTATGCAATGAGTTTCTGTTATAGGTGGTGGAATCATTAGAAAAAAGAACAGTGGTATGGTTGCACAATGTGATCAAAGTAACCAGTGAATTACATATGCAGAAATTAATTTTCCTTAAAAACTAAACTCCTGAAATATGTAAACTATATCCAAATTTTATTTAAGCAATCTGAATCAATATTCTATTTGACCTTCAGGGATATCGGCAGTGTACTAGAGAAAAAATAGGTCACTTATAAAATTCCTGAGGCAAGAATTGAGTACTGCTGCTTTTCTCCATCACTGCCAGTAAGGTTGTTCCTGTATCTTCCAAGTGTGTAAAAACATGGAAATATTCTAAAATGCAAATCTGTTTATATCACTTTCACATAATTCCTCTTTACCTTTTAGGATAAAATCTTAAACTTCTACCATTATAAGTAAGATCATTCACAAATGGTCTATTATTCTCCGGGAGAGAGGAGATTAATCATAGAGTTGTACAATTTGATGAGTGGGGGTGAGGGAAATTGGAAGAATCTGTTCTTGAAAACAATGTGTTCAAATTTTGTAAATAAACTAGTATAAAACAAAAAAATAAAAGAAAAGTAATCTGCCTCCAGTTTAGAAGCACTGCTGGTCCCATTCTACTCAAACATTTCTATCTTCTATATCTCTTTTAAAACAGTTCCATCCATAACGATTCCCTGCCTGGCTTAGCACTGTAGGACTCAGTTCCCCTCCTTTTCACCCTCTCTTCTACTCAAGAGAAATGTTTCTCTTTTTTTGCTCTCACATAATGTGAGACACATACCAGATATAAAAACTCAAATTGACATAGCAATTCTAAAAACATTACTTCAGAACTCAAAAAAAGTTAATTCCTGTCAAGTTTGAACAACTCATAGCTGAACCTTCATCTGGTTTTCAGAGGTGTTAAACTGCATATGAGGAGAATGCCTGTCTTTCATCTGTGGAACAAAAGGTAAATTTGAGCTGCCAAGAGACCTCACCTTTGGGTGATCAGCACACTCCCTACCACCAGAGCTCTCTACTCTTTCTCAATATTCCAAACAGACTATGGATTCCTGGATACAAAGTAGCTGCTATGTCTAATACAACGTATGGTATTCTGTAACTATTTATTGGAAGTAGGAGTGAAACAAGGAAGTATGAAGGCAGTTTCAAACAAAATTATGACAAAATGAAGACCTGCATATGGACATCCGTTCAAATGCACTTTCTCCAAGTCACTAACTTGTAGCTTATCCTTCAGCTGCTCCCAAACCCTTTAATGTTTTTTGTTTCAGTTTTACACACATATATCCCATTATACTTAGATATTTCAGACTATGATCAGCTGTTCTTAACTTTGTAGGGAGCTCTGTAGTATACTTGGTAGGTAGTTGTGCTGCAAAACCAAAAGGTGGCCCACTGAATCCACCAGCTGCTCTGCTGGACCAAGATGGGCATTCTCCTCCCTTGTGATGAACAGGCTCTGAAAAACTGCGGGAGGGTCAGCTAGGATTCAACACAAATGAACAATAAGCAATTATCATATTTACTTTTAATTCATTTTTATAACCAATTACCAAATCTCATGTTTGTGTTTTTTAACCAATTCACAAAGTTATTCCAAATAAGAATATTGAAAATTTATAATTAAATTTAAAAAAGAAATAATTTACCCTAGAATGAATTTGGATTCAAACATTTAAAATGAAATTATTATTGTTATGCTAATTTAGTTAACTAAATCTAAATAAGCAATTGTTTATCTTTAAAATAGAAAAAAATCAATCCAACTTTCAGCACTAAAGTATTCAAAAGAAAAGCATTATATTTAAATATCCTAGAAACTACAATTAGTTGTTACTTATAAACATTGTATGTAGGACATTCCAGTGGCCTAGCGGGTAGGCAGGAGAATTGTGAACTCAAAGGCGGAATCTCTCTGGTGATTCATATCCACCAGTAGCTCCAAGTTAGAAAGATAAGCAATCTCATCCCATATGACTTACGGCCTCTAAAGGTCCCCTGGTAGATCCCTTATGAGTGGGTTCCAACATAATGGCAGTGGGTTTTTTTAGTCTTGGCTTTGTAATTCATACCTATCTACACAAATATATTCCAACTTTTTTCCACAAACCACTCCCATGGCCCAGGGCTGGCCATTCTGTGCATGTCTGTTAAATAAATCTAAAGCTGAAGGAGAAATGTTGCGATAATAAAGCTAACATTTACTGACATTGAGCATTTAGAGGAAACCATTCTAGTAATTCAGTACAATCTAGACTTCTTGTATACTATCAAGTGACAATCAACTCATAGCTGATCCTGCAGGAGGTTTTCAGAAGCAGTAAGCTGCACGGGAGAAGAATGGCCATCTTTCTCTAATGATGCAGATGATGGATCCAAACCACATACCTGTGCATTTGCACTATTATCGATAAGCCACCCGAGCTCCCTATAATCTACAGTGCCATTGTTGTTAGGTGCTGTCGAATTCAGTATGATTCACAGTGACCATATGAACAAAAGACATGAACCTGGTCCTATCCTGGGTCATTTGCGCCATCTCTGATACACTCGAGCCCATTGCTGCATTAACTGTGTCAATCCCCCTGACTGAGGTTCTTTTCCTCATTTGCAATCGCTCCACTCTTCCAAATATGTATCATATCCCTCCCCAAGCAATAGCACTGACTAGCAACATGCCCAAAGTATGTAAGATAATGCTCTATCATCTTTGTCTCCAAGAAGGACACTGGCTACACCTTCTCCAAGACAAGTACGTTTGTTCTTTTGGCAGTTCATGGGATATTCAGTACCCTTCTACAACTCCATGTCTCATAGACATCAAGTCTTCCTCTGGCATCCTTATTCACTGCCTAGCTCTCAAAGGCATAGCAAGTGACTGAAAAGAACATGGCCTCAATCAGGCACAACAGAGAGATCAAATCTAGATTAGTATGGCTAATTTATAAAAAAATCATAAATAATTGTATTAAAATCCCCTTCAATAATTTTTTTTAAATCCCCTTCAATAATTAATGAACTGTATGTTGGGTTGATAAATATCTGATACAGAACTTAAAGAGTAAAACTGTTTCGGTTAGGATGAGGTTTTTTTAAAGAGTTTTATGGGGGAGCTCTGGTGGCCTAGAGGTAAGGAACTGCAACTACAATCCCAGAGGCACACGGATGGAATTCACCAGATGCTCTGCCGAGGAAGGAGGGACAATCTCCTCCTGTACCAGTCAGATATGATTTGACGGTACACTCACACAAAAACAATAAAATAAAATTAAAAAAAAAAGAGTTTGATGCAAGGGTAGACAACAGAGAAATTCTCACAAACCTAGAAAATGATAATAGTAGAAGATGTATGTAACTCAAATAGTTAACTGAAATGAAAAGTGCTTCCACTAAGTAAATAAATTATAAACATCTCTCACCTGTTGCATATGTCTACTAGCTCGTTTCTGAGGCTGATAGATGAGCCATGTGTACAAGATTGGGTCAATATTGACCGCTAGTCCTTGTATACTACAAAGAAGTACAGCACCTAAAAAGAAACCACAGAAATTTTTAAATTGCTGTAATTCTTTATAAAAATGAAACAACCAAACAAACCTCATGGTACTATTCCACACACAATAGGACAGCTATGACTAAAAGAGAAAATAAAAATTCTCAATCAGAATAGAGAAATTTTAAGTATCATATAATTAATAATATCAAATAATAAAACCATTTTGGAAATCAATTTGAAAGTTCCTCTAAAAGTATAAAATAAAGTTACCACACAAAGTTTTTTAAGTTAAAGACAGGAGGTAAAGTAAGTGAAAAGAAACTAATATAAAATGAACTGAGAAAGAGAAACAGAAAGGAAGATTAAACACTTAAAAACAAGAATCCATGAAACAGGATAAAGTAGTCTAACTAAAGGGCATTTTACTTCTTTTATTGAGTGTTAAAAATGTTCACTTATTTATATCCATTTAGACTTTACAATTAGTTCATCCAAGGTACCATTATAATTTTTCAGTTACTACCTCAATGGAAGTCCAATTGCTGAAATTTAGAAATTTAAGTTGTATACCTTTAAAATTAAGCATACATGCTTCTTATAAAGAATATACATGACAGCCAAATCCTATGCAGTATCAAGTTATATTAATGAGAAATTTTTTGGAGTATTTAAAAGAAAATGTTAATTATAACTGAGGTGAAATTAACAAAGATAATGAGTTTCCTGTTTAGCAACTTAAATAAATTGTTCTATGACATTAGCTAGTCAGCATCTGGAAATTTCCCTTCTGTTTGCTTGATTTCCACCGACTATTTCCCTTTACCTTCTTTCCTTATTATCTTTGATTTTGCATTAATGACAACCATTTTATTTCATGTAGCTGATTGATTACACGTTGCTTTTTGGTGATAACTTTTTATTACTCTATAATTTGCTAATAAAGATACAGCAAATTACATACAGGCTAACACAGAAAATAATAAAAACTGACAATGTAGGTATAGAAAATGATATTGCTAACTAAAAGGGGCACCTTCCTGTGATTCAAATTCACTAGCAACTTTTCAAGAGAAGGATTAAAAAACTACTCTTGGGCAACTAACAGCCTCCTGAATCTCAACTGGAGAATCAGATAAGAGTTTTTTCCTACTTAACAACAGTACATTTTTTATTATTTGGTTGAAAGGTGACATTCCAAGAGTGGTTTTAGTTCAAAAACCAAAGTTATTTTAGAGTGATAGCCTTGGGGTTTTTTTCAGTCTGCATCTATCCAGTATGAGGAGTATTTTAAAGAAACTGAATTTTCTTTCTTTTTTTTTTTTTTAAACATTTCTCTTACACTCTAGTTCAGCCCTCCTATCATGTCTGTGGCCAGTGGTGGGAGGCAGATACCATGTAGCTCCTCCAGTCTCAGATTAGAAGAGACCATGAATTATGTGGGTTATTAGCGCTGTGTACTAGTTTCTTCTTTGATTCTTTGATATCCTTCATTCTCTTTTGCTTCATATGAATAAGAGACAGTAGTGGTACCCAAGATGACAGCTCAACAATCTTATAGACCCCCAGACATTATTGTCACAAATTAAGACACAAAGTTAAGCAGTAAGTTAACTCTATAAACTATTATGCCAGTTGAGTAAGTTACCATGAGAGATTACAGTTCTAAGTCTTAATACAAGAAATAAACCTTGCAAAATGTTTGAACGTGTGTATTAGGTTTCTTCATGAGCTTTTTTATTATGTACTGATATGCATACAGAACACTCAAATATGCACACAGATTCACCAATGTTAGTATGCCTGACTTAATGCTCGCCTACTCATATACGCACACATTTCTAGCTGTTAACAGCACAAACGGGTTTTTTTAGTTGTTATCCCTGCTGCATTTCACCTGGAACTAAAGAATGCAAGAGAAACCAAACACATACTAATTAGCATATAAATTTAGGTGCCTAAAACTTACTGTCTTCATTTTTTTTCCTTTTTATTCATTGTTGCGCAATTCCCTCTATTAAGCAGGTCAAAAATCTTGACTAAATAAAGCAAACAACTCAGAAAGAAAATTTTCAAATATTCTAAGAAAGTCAAAGGAAATTACAAAATTGAAATGAAAAAGATGAGAAATAAATTATACCATTTAATTTCTTTCAAGTTACCCTTAAATAGTGGCAAGAGAGAAGAACCAATTTTTCAAAAAAGAAATGAAGCAGTAGGAAAGAAAAGAGAAAGACAATGGTCTGATGAAATAATCAGAGAATGAAAAATGACAGAACAGAGATAAGTTGTTAACCACTGGCATGTTTATCCACATTTATTAACAGATTTGGTATAGATTAACTAGAGTTTTATGTATGTGCGTATGGTTGTTTGTTATTTAACGAGCAGATAAACACTAATTAATTGCTATTTAATTAAGAATTAGGAGGAAACATGGTTACTTGACAGATGGTTACTATGCAGCTAACCTAAAGGTCAGTAGTTCAAACCCATTAGCCACCTCATGGGAGAATGAGGTGGCAACTGGCTTCTCTAAACTTTCAAATGTTTGTGTCTAAAAATACTTTTATGTGGGTATGGTTTTAAGTTAGCATTTGCAAAAATCTTTTGACTGAGTTAATGTTTTCTTATCCAATTTGAGAATTTATCTTTATTTTCTCAGCTGACTTTCTTCCCTCTGGTGGCATTCCAATTAGAAATAAACATCATATTCTTATATTGCTTAACAAAAATTCTGTAACTCTGTGTATTTTGCTCAAACTATTCTCTCCTCCACCCCTTAAAAAATGAGTAATTCCAGTAGGAACTCTGGTGGTGCTACTAACCCAAAGACAGTATCTCTCTGGAGCTCTCTCTCAGCAGCTCCATGCAAGAAAGATGAGAATCTCTTCCTGTGGAATTTACAACCTTGGACACAGTGGAGGGTCATTTATGAGTTGGTTCTGACTTCATGGCAATAAGTAAGCTTTAAGTTTCACATAATCTTTCATCTCAAATCTAAAATATCCTTTTAGGGATATATAACACAATTTCATTTCCATTATTTATACTCTACATTTTCCATTTTTAAAAAACTTAACTATCTCTCTGTGTTGTTGTTAGATTTTCTCATGTCCATCCCAGCTCCTAGCAACCCTATACACAACAGAAAAAACATTCCTGGTCCTATGCTATCCTCACAAGTATTGTTTTAGCCCATTGTTACTGTTATTGTGACAATTAATCTAGTGAAGCTCTTCCTCTTTTTCCCTGGGTCTTTACGTTACCAAGCATAATTTCCTCTCAGGAAACTGGTTCTTCCAGAGAACAATTCCAAAGTACATGAGACCAACTGCAACATTCCTTGTTTGTATGTAATATTCTAGCTGTGCTTTTTCCAAGACAGATCTTTTCTTTCTTTGGCATCCTGTCATTTACTTCATTTTCTTTGCAAGCATCATAATTCAAAGGCATCAATTATTTTTTGGTATTCCTTAGTCATTATCCAGCTTTCAAATACATGTAAAGGAAGTGAAAATAATAAGGTATATTCAGGCACTTTGGTCTTCAAAATGATCTATTTCAACATTTTGAAGGAAGCTTTTGCACTATAAAAAGAGCAAAGGTGGAATTGAGACGGCCCTATGTGACTTATTCTAACTCTACAAGAGGGACCTGCTCCTATCATTATCTATAGTACAAAACCAATTCCCATACACCTACCTATCTCTACTCATTCATTTCTGTACCAATCTTACTGCTCTACTGGGTCTGAAATGTATTTCAATGGCTACACATATTTTACAGAACCATACGACTGTAGGGTTTACTGGGGAGGTTAACAGGTTATAAATCAAGTTAGCAGCCGGATCTAATCCTTGAGTCGAGGCAGCTTCTTAAACATGATCACATGTCCTCTGAACTTCAGCTTTAGGTCAGTGTTACAAAGTTCCTTTAGTCCTGCCAGTTATGGTGCCTTCCTTCATTTCTCTAGTAAGCTTGAATGAAGGTTTCTAGCTCTGGTTCTGCGGGTCAGCAATTCCAAGATCAGTTCTGCCTCACATCATGTGGTTGTAAAGGTTTATTGTTCAAAATGGCATAGATTAGAGAATGCTTCTAGTCTTACATATATATTTGTCAAAACATCTCAACTGAAATCCTATGAATTCCTGAAGTCTTGTTTTCCACAAATATTTTCAGAATAGTTTGCATTTCTTCCTTCAACATCATATAATCATGTTCTACCTCCTGAAATGACTGGATACCAACCACTTACTTACAGTATACTGATGCTGTGTATTACTTTCATTTTCTCTTGATGTTTCCAACGTCAATCTTAATCTTTTGCCTATGATGTTTCATGTACCGTCCAGTCAAATCTAACTTATAACTGACCTGCCAGCGATTTTGCAAAGACCGTCATGAAAACAGGAGGAGCCTGCCTATCTTTCTCCTACAAAGCAACTAGTAAATTCAAACTGCATGTTGCTGGGTTCTAAATGCAACTTCTTTACGCATTAGACGTCCTCAATATTCCAACTCCATGCTTGATTCCCAACATGTTCAGTTTTTTGAGTTTGAGAAATTCTAAGAGTATGTTTCCTTTTAGTTTTTAATGCCAGGTTTTTACATACCTCATTATCATACTGTGGTTTATTTCTAAACACTTTCAAGATCTTTTAACTTTCTCAACTTCAGAGTCTCAATTAAGACCTTTTTTTGGGTCTTTTCCTTTTTGCTATCTTTTTAATGATGTCTTTCTTTCTCCATATATGTTGTTGTTGTTGTTGTTGTTGTTGACTGTTTCGAGTTGCGCACGAATCATTGCGACTCTATGAACAAAAGGTCTGAAATCCCCTTTACAACTATCGATATTTATCGAAGTTCATGGAGTTTCTGGAGGCATGTTGTTTAGGAAGTGGATGCCACCCCTGCTTCCAATTGGGGAATCACTTAGACTTCGGACACTAGTGTTCACTGGTAATATTCAGATAAGATACACTCAAGTTGGTATTGTGGCACTTATAGACTTGTTTATATTTTGTTCAGCTGCA